CTTCTACCTTCCTACCACTAACTAATAAGTAAAGTAAAAGTAAAAGAAAGTAGTACCGTTACGTTACGTTGTGTAGTACGACCGACCGACACACACTATATATATATATATATATATATATATATATATATATATCATAACCTTCTCCCCACTATTTAGTACCAGCTACACGAATCCTGGTCCGCCATTTTGCGTTATCAAGGGTTATACCCATAGTGAGAACATAAGTCTCCATATCTTTTCTCACTACTTCCAACCATGTCTTTTTGGGCCTACCCCTTGCCCTTTTTAAGCCTTCCACTTTAATTAACTCGCACATCCTAATAGGTGTTGTACTGGGCCTGCACTACACATGACCAGCCTACCTAATTCTACTTATCCTCATCTTATTGCCTATTGGAGCCACACCTAAGTTCTCCCGAATGTATTTATTTCGAATTCTATCCCTTCTTGTCTTGTCACTCATCCATCTCAACATCCTCATCTCAGCTACACTCATCCTATGATTATGTTGCTTCTTGGCCGCCCAACATTATGCCTCCTAAAGCAAAGTTGGCCTCACAATTGTCCTATAGAACATGCCCTTAGCTTCATTGGTATGCGGCGATCACATAAAACTCTGATTATTAATCTCTACTTTGCCCACCCAACTCTAATTCTATGTGTGACATCTTCCTCAATCTCTCCATTTTCTTAGTATAATCCCAAGATATCGAAAGTTCGCTCTTTTTTGGTATTTCGTGGTCGTCAATCTCAACTACTTCGTCTCTATTCCTATTATTACTAAACTTGCATTCCATATACTATTTCTTAGTTTAGCTAATTTTAAAACCTTTTAATATTCTAACGCGTCTCTCCAAAGTTCTAACTTGGTATTGATGCCACTTCGGGTCTCATTGATCAAAACTATGTCATCCGCGAACAATATCACCACACTACCTCTTCTTGGAGGTGCGTAGTTATGTCGCCCATAACTAAGACAAGAGAAATGGGCTCAACACTGACCCCTGATGTAAACTTATTCTCATTGAAAACTCACTCATCTCTCCACTAGTCATTCGCGCGCTAACTAGCGGTCCCTCGTACATCTCTCACCAAGTCGATGTAGTATTTGGAAACTCATTTATTTTCCAACACCCACCAACTTTACATCTCGAGGTACTCTATCATAAACTTTTTCTAGATCACTAAAGATGTGGAGGTCTTTCCCCTTCGCTCTAAACTTCCCAATAAGTTGCCTCAGTAAGAAAATAACCTCAATTATTGAGCTTCCTAGCATAAAACAGAATTGGTTTTATGATACACTCATTTCATACTTTAGTCGTTGCTCAATCACTCTCTCTGATAGCTTTATAGTGCGGCTTATAAGTTTGATCCTTCGATAGTTCGCACAAATATGTATGTCTTCTTTGTTCTTATAAATAGGTACCACAATACTTTTCCTCCATTCATCTAGCATTTTCTTTGTTCTCAATACCTAATTGAACATCTTGGTTAGCCAATCAATACCAAACTCCCCTATGTACTTCCAAATTACTATCTGGTCCTAAAGCCTTTGATCATCTTCAAAGATTTTTTCACTTATCCTATGAATGCATCTATGACCTCCGCCCACATTTACGCCAAAGGTGCCTTTTACCGTTGTGTTCTCATTATGTTCATTATTTAATAATTTTTTAAAATAAATTCTCCACCTTTCGTTGACATCTTCATTCTTCACCAAGACCCTTTGATCATCACTCTTAATGCATTTAATATGGTTTAAATCCTTACATTTTTTTCTTTCTCATTTTTACTAATTTGAAGATATCTTTTTGACCTTTTCTTGTACGTAGTTTACTGTATAGATTATCATATGCCTTAAGTTTAACCTTACTTACTATTTACATAGCATATTTATATTCTTCTAAATTTTGATCATTTCTGTACATTGCCCATTTTTATAACACGATTGTTTATCACTAATTGCCTTCTGAACCTCGTACTCCACTTCCAAGTTCCCTTATAGGAATTTCTTTCCCTCTAGTTTCTCCTAAAACTTCTTTTGCATTGTCTCAATACAGTCATCCATCTCATTTCACATAATGTTGACCTCAAGTATAGAGTTCAATTTTTCTTTTTTAACTAATTTATCCCTAAATAAGTTTATTTTCGCATTTTTTAAATTCCACCACCGAGTTTTTGGACACCTATTAATTTCATCCCTTCTCTTCCATCTTTTGGTGCAGATGTCTATAACCACGAGTCTATGTTGCGTGGTCAAACTATCTCTTGGGATAACATTGCAATCTTTCCATAATGGTCAATCTACCTTCTTAACTAGGAAGAAGTCTATATGGCATTTATACAATCCACTTTTATAGGTTATTAAATGTTCATCTCGCTTTTTAAAGTAAATGTTTGTTATTGCAAGGCCATAGGCCATAACAAAATTTAGAATAGCCTTACTTATATCATTTCTTTCACCAAACCCATATCCCCCGTGTACCCCTTCATATCCTCTACTATCCTTCCCTACATGACCATTTAAGCCCCCTTCTAAAATAGTCCTCTCTCCATCTAGTATGCCTTAGATTAGTCTATCCAAGTCCTCCCAAAATTGTCTCTTAATTGTATCATCTAGTCCTACTTGTGGTGAATACACACTAGTTATGTTAATTATCTATCCCCCCAATACAAGTTTAATTAATAGAAGCATACCATCAACTCTCTCGACATTAACAACTTTATCTTCTAAATCCTTGTCTGCTATTATACCTAAGGCATTTTTTTATTATTATCCTTTCTTATATACCAAAGTTTATAACCATCTAATTTTTTAAGCTTTTTTCCTTTCCGCTTAGTTTCATATAGACAAGCTATGTTTATTCTCCTTCGTCTCATTGTATCCACTAACTCTATACTCTTACCTGTAAGCGTCCCTACATTCCATGTGGCTAGACAAATCCTATTTGCTTAGACTAGCTTCTTTACCTGTGCTCGTCCATACTCTTACCTGTAAGAGTTCCAGATGCTTAGATCTACACCTTAGAAGGATATTTTTCCTTTCCAAAAGTTTTAACTAGCTTTATTATCATTAAATTAACAATGTTAAAAAAAGGAACAAATTGATTTTGAATTCGTAAAGGCTTAGATCTTGAAATTCACCAAATGGAGGGTCTAAATTCATTGTTGCAGGGGACTCATTTTGACTATATCTAAGTTGCAAATTGAATTTAATTTTTGTTTTGGGGGAGTGATTAATTTTGCAGGGGACTCATTTTGACTATGTATGCAAATTATGGGGCCACACAAATGCCATAAACGTGGTGTTCTAGAAGTGTGGTTTCATTATATTTTAATGACACAGTGACATGAGATAATTTCTCCTCATTTCATGCAACAGTTCTATAATAATATAATAAAACAATCTAAAAAAACCACCTTAGGGCCATTTGTTTGACCTCAAGTTTTAAATATACTCTTTTCATTCTAATGAACAATTACATAAAAAGCAAAATCTGAAAACACATACTAAAAAGTGCTTTTTAGCCACATTAATATAGACTGCCCATTTTAATGAGATGCTTAGATCTAGGGCCAAGAAGGATTTTTTTCAACTCCAAAATTTTTAGATATAACTAGATTAACAATGTTAAAAAGCAAAAAAAATTGATTCTGAATTCGTAAAGGCCTAGATCTTGAAATTCACCAAATGGATGGTCGAGATTCATTGTTTGGAGGGCACTCATTTTAACCATATCTGGAGTGCAAATGGAATTTACTTTCTAGGGATCGATTATTGGGATGAAGACGGTGTGTGTGCAAATTTTGGGGTCATACAAATGCCACAAACATGGTTTTTTATAAGTATGGTTTCACTATATTACAATGACATGCATATATA